GTGATGAAACGATCAAACATAAAACAATATGTATGCAATCACAGCAGCGACTGTATGTTGTTTGTTTCACATGAAGTTTCAATTTCATGATAGTCCAAGTGGCTTCAAAATTTAAGTGGGTAAAAAATGACAGAAAATGAGTTTAGGCAGGGATGGATCTACATTTAAAAAAATGACACCTTTAAAGATTGAAAAAATATAAGAAAATTTTTTTCTAAATATTTCTTTCATCAACAAAATTAATAAATTCATTAATATATATATAATATTTATATGGATAAACACTCCCAAAAATATTCTAAATCTTATGACTTTTATAGGACTCTTTTAGATGTATGTCCCTACATAATAGAATGGTGGTGATGAAGATTTGAGGAGGTTGGCCACACATGAATTTCGGGTCAAAAACTGAAGGGAGGGTTAAGCAAAATGGAATCTTTCCTTCACTCAGGAGCCTGTTCAAAATACAAACCGACATCATTTATATACAGACAAAAGACAGGTACAATCTTTTAAGGCTTCATTTGGTTTTAAACGAAGCTTCCAGTGCGGAGCAGTTGAAGCACCTTTTTGCCCAACCTAGAAAGTTTGGCAAACATTCTTAAAGTTCAGTAGAAAGTTTTGCCTGAAGTTCAATTAGAGTATGGAGGGTGCAGTGGCTAACTGGGATGCAAATTGGATGATAATGTTCAAACTATTTATTTTTATTTTCTGTTTTACCCGTAAATTTATAATGATAAGACTTAAACACCTCTAATAGATCAAAATATTATATTTTTTAATTTATCCAAATAATAGTTACAATTATTATAAGTATTATTTCTTCAAATATTAAATATTTTGAAATATTTTTATAATTTTTAATACTTAAAATCTTAATTCTTATTTGTAATATAAATTAATATTAATCAATAAATGGAATAAATTAATTAAAAATTAAAATACTAAACAATAGTAAAATATATAAATAATTTATCTATACATTCTCAAATTAATGTTTTTAATGATCATATTTATTTTATCCTTATTGTCATCAATGTGTTTGTATCAAAATGTATATTTTTATTATTTATTTTAATTTTATCATTACAATATCCAATATCATTACTATAATAATTAATTTCACTTTTATCACTGTTTTAAATTTCACTAAAACCAATATCACATCCATCCAAACAAATCCTAAGAGTATATATATATAACTTGAGTCTTCATAGTATTAGGCCCTATTTATATTTAGTTCCCATATGGATTCCATAGTATCATCAGTGCAATGCGATTAAGTTTAGCGCACTTCCAGTTAAATTCAAATGTCAACTTTAGTAAGGATAAGTTAACATAAATTTTTCATTAAATTTTTTTTTCAATTACAATTACAATAATTTTATTACTGTTTTATATTTCACCATAATTAATCTCATCGTTTATCCATGTTGGCCTTGAATTGATTAAGAGTTTTGATTTGACAAAATAAAAATTTGCCAAACTTGTTTCAATCTTGTCTAAGCTTAAATTGAACATTTTTTCACCCTTCTATCTTGTCAAAATTCATTTGAGAATCAAAACAACTCAAATTCTCGGAACAAAACATGATTTATGCAAGTTTTGATAGAAGGTATCTATCCCCTCATCTTTCCCCAACCCCTTCTCTCTACACCCTCGATATTCCCACTAAAAATTGACTACTTCTCTTACAAATTTCTCTTGTAAACTCGCTACCCACAATCTCCTATGGCAACCAGAACCAAAGTCACGGCTGGACGACGAGACCTTCCAAGAGATGCCTCAAGCTCCACTATGAAGCCTTCTTTCAACCAAATTTCAACAATCCCGATGCCAAGGAGTGGTATGAGACACACTTTACTCATCGGGAAAGTAAAACCTGGAAGGGTAATCTCACTAGACTTTCTTCAATCCATAGAGTTTTCTTATTTGCATACTTTTGAGTCTTTTGAATGGATGCCTTGTGTATAGAGAGTCGTTTATTTAAGAATCTAGTAAGAGTATTCTATAGTAATGCTAGCTGTGTTCAAATTGAAGGAAAAATAGACATTATCTTGATAGGTTCAGAACATATGTAATGGGGAAGAAAATCTTCGTTACAAAAGAAATGCTAGCTGAGGCATTTATGTTAGCTGATGAAGGAGAGACAAATCCTAGATGTGACATAGTGCAACTAGCTCAAGATATCTTTAGGAATCCCAATTTACAGGTTGTTCCCACACAAGCCTCTAGGTTACCCATGTATGATCGGTTATTACACCTTATTATAACCCATGTGTTAGCCCATTTTGAGACCCAATACTCCACCATTAGGAAACAAGATTATTGGTGGATGTACAAGATCAAGCATGAACAGAAACCAAATTTGGTGCACTTCATTTTTAGTGACATGATAGGGATTGTCCAAAATAAAGATGTTACTCTAGTATATGGGTATGCTATAAGCAATCTTTTGAGACATTTGGAAGTAAACACTAGAGGCGACAGAGAGATGCATGTCAGTGACCCATTTAGTATTCTTGGACCTTCCACATTGCATAGTATGGGGTATGTTGAAACTCCAGATGGCCAATAGGTTAAAAAGGGGGATATTGGTGTTGCACCAGAGAAAGAGGAGGATCAATACCCTGTAGACATGCCTGCACCTCAATGAGAACCCCTTAGCACACTTTTTGACACTCAAGGTACCCTAGAGATGCTCTTACTTCAAATGAACAGCTTGCACTCAATGGTTGGCACTATAAGCAGTAGATTGGAGTCCATAGAGAAAACTCAAAATGACTTTGTGGCACAAGTCCGGCATCTTCGAGCTGATATTGAGCATATGAGGTCTACTTCTCAGCACATGGGATAGTATTCATATAAGTTTTTCTCTACTTTCTTATATATACATTTGTGTACTTCAACTTAGCAAACCCTAGCCTTTGTGAGGTTCTTAAAGTTTGCCAAACACTTCTGAATTTTCTATATTGTGAGTGTGTAAGCTTAAGAGGGAGGATAACCCTTAAGAGTGTATGTTGTTGAGTTGAAAAGCTTTGTGAAAGCTTAGTTGTAATCTTCATCAAATAGTGGATTGAACTCCTTAGCAAGAAAGGCTAAGGGAGAGGACGTAGATACCTAAGAAAGGACCGAACCTCTATAAATCTTGATGTTAAATTCTCTAACCCTATCTCTTGTTTATATTTATCTATTGTATTTATCTATTTTGATAATTTGTGGTTATTGAATATTATTTTTGAAAATTTTATTAAAATCAATTCACCCCCTATTAATTTATTTCAAGTCTTTGAACTAACAATCCAAATAAAACCTTAATCATTACATCATAAAGCACCTTCATGATGCAACTGCACCATTCGGAGTTGTTTGGATATCAACCAGTGCGGTGCGTAATTGCACCGGAGTATTACATTTGGATTGGAGCATTAGGGGTTCAGTGAGTCGCTGGACTGGTTCCTTTACCATTTTACTCTCATAATTATTTTTTATTTTATTTTATATATTTATATTTATATTGGCAAAATGAATTATTTTATTAAGTTTTAGTTTATGTAAATATATTGTTGTCATTTTTTAATAAAATTATTATTTGACATAAAAATAATTTTAATAATTTTTAATTATTTATTAATTTCATAAATGATAAATAAATTAAAATTTTCATTATAAATAAATTTTAATATAACATCTTTAATGATCAATTTTTTCATTTCATTATATTTCACCTCATTTCTATTATTATATTTGTATCCAAATATATATTTTATCATTAATTTTAATCTCATCATTATAATACTCAAATTTATCATCATTACTTTTTTTAATCTCATCAGGATTAATTTTATCGTCCTTACTTAATTTTTTTTCTCTCCAATAAATACGTCTGTCAGAAAAAAAGAATATTCAAAGATTTCAGATCTACATTTATTTAGATTTGTTTGCCTGTTTCTTGTTAATCTTCTTGAGGTACAAGTAATTGATCCAGAAGAGAACTTATTGTCTTGCATTACAATAAGCCAAATTAACAACGATGAAATGTATTTATCAAACAATCACCTGACATGTATCAACAATTTTGTGCTGTGGGTTTTCCGACCAGCTATATATATATATATATATATCAACGTCACAAATTTGTTTACTCAGAAAAAGAATAATAATGAACTTATAGTTTAGTTCAATTCTTTTATATAATTATTTTTAAAAAATATTTAATAAATTTTAAATTTTAACATTTATAATTTTTGTAAAATTATACAAAAATAATAAAATACAGCTACATTATACATATTTCAAAACCAATACGCTTTGATTCTAAAGGGAGGAGGTGCAACATATCACACTATTTCCAGAACATTACTTTCTTTTCTATTGCCTGCATCGCAAAGAAAAAGGGAAAAAAAGATGAAGAGATAGGCATTCCCTGGCAGCCTTTAAACCATGCATGTGCGCTGGCAAATACAAAGAGAACGCTTCATCACCTAACCCAACCTCCATTCCCACAAATTCATGCCACCTAGAAATTGCAAGCTTTAGTGGCTTTAGCCTTCGCTCTCTTTCTAGAATACATTTTCCCAGTATCATCCGTTCCAAATAGGGCACTTATTTATGGGTGTCATATTGTATAGTCAGAATTGGTTTACCTTTTGAAGTACCCTAAAACTTGAAAAATAAAATATTTTAAAGAAAATTTTTTAAACATTCCAAATTTTTTATAAACATTTTAAAAATTAAAATTTTAAAAAAACTCTTCAAATACTTTCGAAGTTTTCTCATAACGTCGTTTTTATTGACAAAATTGATAAATTCATCAATAATTTTTAATATATATTATAAGTGAACATATTTTTTAAAAAAATCATGGATCCGTGCATTTTAGTCACATTCAAGGAACCTCTTGCGAAGTGACAATTTCAAACGTTCCAAATATGGGCATGTTTCTTAAAATAAGGATATTGCTTTGGAGAGAAACCATGATATTGTATTCCAATTTTCAAGACATTCCATACTGCTCTGTTACAACAATGAAAAGATCATGGAGCTTCTCTTTTATTACTCTTATCATGTGACAGCGAACGACTAGATGTGGAAGTGATAAGTTGCATTTGTTTGATTTCATGGCTTTGTCGAACTTAGCTCAACATCAGGGTCAGATTTCTCTTCTACTTGTACTACATTGCCCTTGTAATGGTAGTGATGTGCAACATAGAGGAAATAAAGGAAATTGAAGGTCCCCATCCCTGCTAGGAGATAGTAAAAGTAATCCAATCTGCCAGCATTAATATCACTAGTCAACCAGTCAGGATGTCCATGCCCTCCAGAGACATGATGCACAACATTGACTACCATGCTGCTAAAGTAGCTTGCACCACCAAGGGAGCAAAACAGAAGAGAATTAGCAATGCTTCTCATATGCTCCGGGAACTGCTTGTTGAAAAATTCAATCTGTCCAACGATGTTGAATGTCTCGCAGAAACCCATGAGAATAAGCTGAGGAGCTAGCCAAAAGACTGATAACGGTGCAACACCAGGGTGCAATATAGCTGAGGTCCTTCTCTTCTTTTCCATAACTCCAGCAACGATCATCGCTAGAATAGAAAAAAATATGCCAATTCCAATTCTTTGAAGAAGCGTTATCCCACCTTCACGTTTGGTGAATTTTCGAAGAGCTGGAACAATAATTCTGTCGTAGATTGGCAGGAAAATTCCAACTGTGATCATCGATATGATCCCAACGGAACCAGATGGGATTTGGAACTTGGGGCCCAGATGCCTGTCCATTTTCAAAGCCTGAGACAAAGTGAATGTTCCCTGTTGTGTCATGCAGGTAAAGCTAATGATACCGGACGCCCAAATAGGGATGATTCCGACAAGGCATTTGAGCTCTTCGACATCTTGAATGCTGCACAGCCTCCATCTTTTAGGGGAACCATCAGGTTGTAATTCATTCTCCATTATTATGGCGGCTTTGTTTAAGAACCTAGGAGAACAAAACCAACAATTGAATTTAGCACTAGAAGCCACTACAAGTTCAAATTATTAAACCTTTACCAAGAAAAAAAGTATATATTAACTCAATAATATATGCCTGTGGTATATTTTGCAGGGACAGATCTAATCTTTGAGGTTGGGTTTCCAAGATACCTCAAATATTGAAAATTAAAACAAAATAAAAAAACTTTTTTTGAACAATTTCAAAAAATTTTTAAAATATTTTTTAATAAAATTAATAAATTGTTAATAATATTATATATATATATATATATATATTATAAATAAATATCTAAAAAAAATTTCTGAATCCATATCGTCACTTATCTTTTATGATAAGATAGGTCACCTGAACTGGTTGGTGAGGGGTAGCTTTGACAACACATTGTCCTTTAAAGGAGGATCATAAAAAACTCCAATTTCCTGTCTCTCTACTGGAAGCTTAAGCTGTCTTTTCTGGTAAGCGGCAACAAAAACTTGGGCAATGCTTGAAAAAACGCTTCCCCGTGGCTTAACATGCACGTAAATTCTTGTGCCGATGAGGAACAGCAGAATTGAACTGCCCATGAGAAGAGTAGGAATTCCGAAGCCTAGAACCCAGCTTACTGACTCTTGAATATAAACCACAAGAGTTAGGGTAAGCAACATGACCACTGTGAATGTGGTGTAATACCAATTGAAGAAGCTGCTGATCCCTTTAACCCCTTCTTCGGTGGTTGGATCAAATTGATCAATTCCAAATGCAATGCTGCAGGGTCTTATTCCACCCGTGCCTACTGATAACAGGCCTAACCCTGTCAGCAGAACTCCCAGTTGAACGTTGTTTGGACCAATGCAGTGACCATGTAGTTGCTGTTCAGGTTTGCATTCTGGAGGGTGGAGTTTCGGAATCCAAGCCGTCAAAGTTACAATCAACATTCCCTGTCAATGTTAGACAATGGTTTAACAGTATTCAATTAGTGCATTTTAATCCTTTTCATTCGATATTGCTGCTGGTAAATAGTACTAGTAATAGTAGACTTATTAATCACAAAGGGAGCAGGAAGAATCTATAAATGCGAGCTTTTAAAATTGTAGAAACTTCTTGTCCTGGTAAATGATCGACCGGACACTAATAATTTTTCTTCCTTTGTAAGTATTTAATTATTACTCTTTTCGTTCTACATTGTTTGAATGTTATTGACTTTTATATAATTTAAAAGAAATTTTGACTTTAATATATTTAACATTAAAATTTAAAATTTTTTATAACATTAAAAATTCATGAATTTTAATATTAAAAAATAAAAAAATCATAAAAAATAATTTTAAAATATAAAAGTAAGGTTTTTAAATGTTAAAAAAACATAATTTTAAGACAAAAAAATAAAACAGAAAGAGTATTACGAGAAAGGAAAAATGACGTGAAAAGCATGAATAATTAATTAAGAAAATTATATATCTATAAATATATATATATATATATATATAAATAATAAGTGAATAGAGAAGCAAAGCTGGGCTCCTTGCTGTGGATATGTCTATAATTGCTACTACTTTATTGACCTAAACAAGAAGTTATATTATTATATATGTCACATAAATTGTAGTGTATGATTCGAATTGAGAGAGATATTGAAAAAAAAAAAAAAAAGAATTTTTATTATTTTTAGATTCGTGGACTTAATTCAATTCTATAGGATATTTCATTCCTTTTTTTTTTTTTAACTAAACAATGTTTTATAAAACTCTTGGACAACAAACCACATGCATGGCTGGTGACAGTTTTTTTTATCATTATATAAAATATTTAAAAAGTTAGTTTGGCAACATAATGAAAAATGAAACATAATAGGATTTTGTAACAATTTTTTATTGTTACCAATTTTATAAAAATTTACAATAATAAAAATTATATTTCCATAAAATATAAAAAAATTTAAATAAAACATCTATTATGAAAAATTATTGTAAATATAATAAAATTTTACAATAATATTTTTAGTTCTTGCAAATTATGGTGGCCCAAACATCATTTTCTAGTAGTGTCCCCCTCATAAAGAAAAAATGAATAAAACTGGAGAGATAAAAAGAGGCAAATGGACTTTTAATCTGCCAGGCCAGTGATCCAGCGCGGGAAGCAAGATAAAATTTGTTTCCAAAGATTATTACCTAATTGTCATCAGAAATTTATAGTATGATTTGATTTTCTCCATAGTTATATACTAGGAAAAAGCTTTTGCTTGATGATATAAAAGCAAGAAAATGTTTTATGTATGAAAACGTAAATTCAAGAATCACGATCAGCTTAATTTGCATGGTCTACTTGACCCTTTAGAAGTGGGAAAATCATATAAAGAAAAATTAAGGATGATATCGATCTATGTTAATGAAAATTCAAGCAGCCATGGCCCTTAAAACCAGTTGAGTAGTAAGAAAACATATATACCAGAAATGACGCAAAGGATGCTACTGCAATTGTTGGAAACCTCCCCGCATAGGCATCGGAGATAAAGGCACCAGCCAAAGGTGCAAAATTGGTTACACCGGACCAGATATAGATAACATTTGAAGCAGACACCTGATCCAAGTGAAGCTCCCTCGTTAAATACACCATAAAATTTGCCAACAACCCAAAAGTTGCTAACCTCTCGAACGTTTCATTTCCTGCGCCGCACCACACTTTCCTGTGTTAACTAAACGACAACCACAGAAGCGAAGGAAAAAAAAAGTAATAGTAGCATTAATTCCTTAGAAAGGAAAGAAATTAAACCTAAGATGTAAGGCATGGCTTTCCATCCCCCAGGCTTCTTCTGGTTTGTACAGGCCGAGCCCCAGACTGATAAAACATTTCCCTTCGTTCCTTGTCCCGGTTTATGTTCCAGGGACGACGGTTTGCGGAAGTTTTTTGTGCAGCAAAATAGAAAAAACCCTGACTCCTCTTTGATGCTCTTGATCACCATGCTTGTCTTTGGCTAAGCAAGCTTTTGTTTTTTTGGTACAGGCTAAGCAAGCTTTTATTTTATTTGATACAGGCTAAGCAAGCTTTTACTTTATGTGTTTTGAGTTTCTTTTGGAAGCATTTGAAATTGGTTGCATATATATATATATATATATATATATATGTAGAGAGAGAGAGAGAGGTAGGTTTGGAATTTGTATAAATCAGCTGATCAAAAAAGAAGATGGAATTATTGAATGACTGACGAAATCGAGAAGTGAAAAAGGTCGGCCACACCACTTGTACAAACAAAATATGGCTAACAAAAATTGGGTGTTTGGCCTACACTACTGGTGGAAAGTGCGGAACCATCTGGCTAAATTGGGCATAGGCATAAAAGATGCTACTTTCTTTTTTTCTTCTGGCATATAATACATTATCCAGTATAAGTGGTGATCGACAAAAAGCTCCATATAAAACATTCAGACAAAAATAATAATTTAATATAATTCAATATTTAATTGGTTTATTTTCATAAATAAAATTTTTTTATTAATTATAGAGAATTATAAAAATATAATCTTAATCCAAATTGATTTATAAAGATTAAATTCAAGTACGTGCATATATATCCATGTAAATTCTTTCATTCTCCTTTTTTTTAGTCCACTTATAAATAATATTTATGAACATTCTCTTCTAGTGTTATAAAATATTCATACACCAAATATCAAACATACATACTTATATGAATTTTTTTAATCTCCCTTAATTTTATGCAGTATCTATCTAAAAAAAACCTACAATTACCTTTACATTTTTTTTCATATCCGGTCCTATTGAAAGTTTCAACATTTATAAATATATTAAGAATTTTTTTAATTTTTTTTTACAATTCTTCTTTCCATTAAATAATATCTAATCAATTTAAAAAAAATCTCAAGTAAATATTTTAATAAAACTTTTGGGATTTAAATAACTATTCATAGCAAATAAAACAACTTTTTAAATAATTACTAGACGTTTACACTGTAAAATTGAGGAGAAACTATAATTCCAAGTTCATATCGTTTTCATGATGGAATTTGAAATTAAAGATGATAACGATTCAAATTAGATTAGATCCACCTCAATTTCTTTGGATGATATATAATATTATAAATTTTAAAACTTTTATCCGAATCTGAATTGATCTTATTTGAAATTGGTCAAACCTAAATTGAATTATATTAGTTCGATTACGTTTAGTTCATCAGTTTTTTAAATTTATTTTTTATTATTTTAATATAATTTTTAATATATTTGAATAGATTTAAATATAAAATAATTATATTTATTTTATAAATTTTAAAAAATATATAAAACTAATAAAAATATATAATTTATTTCATATATTTTTTATTTTTTACTTTCCAATTCAAAATACAATATGCATCTAATAAAATATTTAATATCTAAATTTAAATCTAATCAGATAAAAAAATTTTAAATTAAACTGAATATTTTAATTTTAAATCTATTCTCGATTTTTTCAAAATTGTTTCACATCGATGCAGACTTAAGTTCCATTTGGATGGATGGTGAGATTAATTTTAATGAGATTGATAATAGAGGTAGCGGTGAGTTTAATCATTATAATGGTGAGATTAAAATTAATGGTGAAATATTTGTTTGGATGAAAACACAGCAATGATGGTAAGGTGAATTGTAACAAGATAAAAAAATGACCATTAAAGAAATTAAATTAAAATTTATATATAATAAAAATTTAAATTATTTGACATTTATAAAATTAATAAATAATTAAAAATTATTTTTATGTCAAATAATATATATTTTTAAAATTGATAATAATATATTTATATCAATTAAAATTTAACAAAATAATATTAAACAAGTAAAATATAAAACATTAATTAATTTAAATATAAATACAAAATAAAAAAAAAATGATGGTATTATAGTAAATAGTCCAGCTCAGTGGCTCACTGGATCATTTTTAACCGACGAAGAATTATTGCTCCAGTACAGTAAAAAAACTCAATCACACTGCACTGCACTGATTTGACATCCAAACGAAATGAAATGGTGCGATTACATTAAAAAAGTAAAAATTCTCCTCGCACTGAAGCTGCGAGTGAATCCAAATAAATCCTTAAAGTGACCAAAATCCAAACTGTTTAAATCTGAATGACATGATTTGACTCGTTAAATTATCACCCTTTTGCATCATCTCACGGCCCGGCAATTTTATAAGCTAGGGATGGCAAAAATAAACCACTATCCTTAAAACTTAGTCAATTCATTGCGTAGATTTTTTTATCTAATTAATATAGAGTGAATCTCGGTTACATAAAACACAGGTCATTTTGATGCACAAATGACTGTCAGAATATCTAATTAATACTCCCTAGTCTTCCTGGTGTACCAGATGCTCCGAATGAACTCTTATATGCAAAACATGATTTAAGAAGAAAAAATGCTAAACAATGTTTCAAGTGATTTAAGAATTATGCATTTCAGACAAGATGGAACTAGAACTTCGTTTATTACTTGACTACATTACTTCTATCCCAAGTTATTTTTCCATTTTTCTGTTACTTTAAGCTGTGCTATTTGTCCGGATCTCTACTTCATATGCAAATAAGCAGAATAAATCAAGTTCCAGGCAGAATTCTGCTTTTACATGATTTTCACACTACCCTTGTATTGATATCTTCGAGCGCAGAACAGAAAGAAACCGAAGTTCAGTAAAGATATCCCTGCTATTAGGAAATAGAAAAAGTCCAATTTGCTTGTGTTGATATCGTTGGACAACCAGTTGGAGCCTTGCTTTCCAGTGACCTTATGCACAACAGTGATCACGGAGCTACTTGCGTAGCTTGCCAAAGAAAAGGTGAGATAGATTAGAGAATTTCCGATGCTCCTCATATGCTCAGGGAACTGCTTGTTGTAAAATTCTATTAGTCCAACGATACTGAATATCTCGGAGAAGCCAATCAGGATAAGCTGGGGAGTTAGCCACATGACTGACATTGGAGCAACTCCATCAGGTCCACCGTGCAAAAGGGCTGAATGCCTTCTCTTGGTTTCAATGAATCCGGAAACTAACATTGTTAGGATTGAGAAAAGGTTCCCAATTCCTATTCTTTGGAGAAGTGTGATCCCACCTTCTAGCTTTGTGATTTTTTCAAGCGCTGGTACGAGAACTCTATCATAAAACGGTAGCCATATTGCAATTGCAATCAGTGTAATGACACCAACTGAACCAGCAGGGATCTTGATGCTGGGACCAAAATGCAGGTCCATCTTCAGGGCTTGTGCTACCGTGAATGTTCCTTGTTGATTCATGGCAAGGAAGCCAAGTATGCTGGTAAGCCAAATTGGGATAATGTTTACAAGGCATTTAACATCTTCAATTTGTTGGATACTACAGAGCCTCCAGGGATTGACACAAAAACCATCAGGGTTTACTTCATCACCCGCGATTAGAGCCGCTTTATTTAAGCAACTGATGAGGGAGCACAAAAAAAAAAAAAGAATTGGTAAAAAAAAAAGGGATTAAATTTGTGTAGCCAAAGCATATAGTTAAGAAGAAAGAAATACATCACCTGTACCGTCTGGTGAGATGGAGTTCTGGAAGCAACCTTCTCTTCAATGGAGGATCATAGAATTGTCCATTTACTCCATCAGCTGGAAGATTAAGATGGCTTTTTTTGTAAGCGGCCACAAACACTTGTGCTACACCAGCGAAAACACTTCCTTCTGGCTTTATGTATATGTAAATTTTTGTTCCAACAAAGAACAAAACAATACCAAAGAGCATGCAAAGGGTTGGTATCGCAAAGCCTAAGGCCCAGCTAATATCATTTTGGATATAAACCACAATTGTTTGAGTAATCAACAAGACAATTGTTTGAGTAGCATAGTACAAATTGTAAAAACTGTTGTTTCCTTTTCTCCCTTCTTCAGTTGTTAAATCAAATTGATCAACACTGAAAGGAATGCTGCAGGGCTTGATTCCACCAGTGCCGATGGACAACCAGCACAAGCTAAAAATCAAAATGCCAAGTTGGGCTTTATTGTAGCCTATGCAATGGCCATGTAGTTGTTCTTCATGGGCACATGGTGGAGGACGCAGCTGTGGTAACAAAGCTGTTGAAGTCATTATCATCATTCCCTGCAAATCAGTGGTTGACATCACATGTTATTAATCATATTCAGGCATTTTTTTAGAGATCTGGTAAATATCCAATGAATCAATCCAATGAAATTCTTTTTGGGCATCATTCCAACATGTAATAGACCCTTTTCTACAGAAAAAGTATCTATACTGAAATAGGATGGAAACCAAAAATCCAACTTCCAGTTCCAACAACAGAAGTCTAAATGATTTCCTTTTTCTCTTCCTGTTTTCCTGTAAATTTCAAGTATTTCCCATGCCTCAGTGACTCAGTATGTAAGTGAGAATGTAATTTAAGAAATGGAGAGGGGGACATACACTTGTTTTGAAATAAATAAACAAAATTAAAGGCATATATACCACGAGAGATGAAAAGGATCCGAAAACAATGGTCCAGAATTTGCCGATATATGCATCCGAGACATAGGCACCAATAACCGGCGCGAAATTGGACGCACCAGACCAGCTGTTAAGGATGGTAGCTGCTTGAACCTGGTCCATGTGATACTCCCTCTGAAGATACACCATAAAATTTGCCATCAATCCGAACGACGCCAATCTCTCAAACGTTTCATTTCCTGCACATGGGAAACGCCACACCCTTTTAATAATAAACACGTTAAACAACCAGTGCCAGAAATGTGACGTAGGTATAGCTACAATACACTTAACGTGAGGGAGAGAGAGAGAGGGATGGGTTGCACCTAAGACGAAAGGCATAGCTCTCCATCCTGCAGGCCTTCTTTGATTTGTAATTGTATCCGGTAAATCTGCAGCTATATTTTCTTCTTCTGATGGATAAAAAAAGCAGCAAGAACCTGACCTTTTTCTGCCTTGTCTACCCACCATTTTTGCTCTATAAGAAAATGAGACTCGGTGATCAAATGAACTCATGTCTATCCTTATATTAGCATATATAGGGCATGTAAAACAAGAGGTGAAAAGATGGAAATATACTGAGGTTTTTAATAACATACTGGTTCAAGAGGACAGAATCAGATTTTGACTTGTGTTGTTCACGCACTTGTTGTCGGTGGAGTCGACTTGGAATTTTGGATTTGCATAATGGGCCCCATTTTCTTAATTTAATATCTTTAATAATTGATGACGCTAGGAGATATTTTCAATCAATTCAAATTTATTGTGGTTAGGAGCTGTAGTCTAGTTTAACGGTTTCAAAAAGTTTGATTTGAAAAAAATATGTTTAAAATTTTAGTAAAGCAAACATAATTTAAGAATTTTAAATATTTTGATATTTTTACGAAAAAGTGATTTATTATATGAAATGTTAAAATATATATAATAATAATAAAATTTAAATGCATAAAGACAAAAAGTAATTTACCTCAAAAGTATGTTTGAATGCCAAACGCACTTCTGAAGGAGCTTTTGGCTTTGATTTGCAAAATCAAATTATTTAACCGTAAACCTGAAATTTTTTCTCTTGTTTAACATTGGAGTTGCGTTGAACTATAGTTTTTTTTTTCAGCTAAAATACTCGTTCACACCTCAGCGTTAAACAAGGCTTAAGTAGATTATAACTTAAAATTTTTCATTTTGGAGATTTTAAATTTGAATATTAAAACAAACAAGATTAAATTAATAAGACAAGTGGAAGATAATTTCAAATGTATAGTCCAACCAATATCATACTTAAAAAAAAATTAAAAATTTAATTCATACTTTTTTTGGTGTAATAAAAGTTTAGAGTAAGAAAATTTTTTACATTTCAAAATTAGGGTAGGTCGTAGGTCTTAGAAATAATTTACATTGAATTTTATAAATCATTCATTAAGGAAAAAATTTATTGACAGTGAAATTTGAATTTAAATTTTATAAACAAAATATTTAAAATTTACTAACTCAAACAAGTCTCATTGTCAAAATCAATTCATATTTGTTAGATACTTGGACTTAAAATTTACAATTTATTTTAAAAATGATAAATACCTATGCATATTTTTTAATTATTGAATTAAAGGGCAATCTATGAAATTCTATTGTCTCAATAAGAATGTTGACCTGCAATCCACCAAACCATATTAAGTAGCAAAATTAGATCATTCCTAAGACCTTAGTTGTATTTCCTTTTTTTATATCAATTAACAATTGTGTGATTTTATTTTGTTCCTCTTTACTTGTAAACTAGAGATGTGGCCCATTCTATACCGTGGTGCTAAACATTTGTTCCCGTATGAAAAATACTTTAAATTAATTAATTAAATTAATAATATACATAATTGATTTTTAAAAATTAACCAAATAAAAGTGACATGAACCATTAAGGAAAATAAAAGAAGCAAGAAAAAATTCTACATGTAAAAAGAAAGATTAAAAAGATGAAAAAGAAAAAAATGATAAAAACTTTATTGTAATGACTTATGTATTACAATGAGGTTTAAAACCTATTTATATAGAGATAAAATATTACAAAATAAAAAATACAATAAATAAAAATAATGACTAAATCAATTCTTATAATCAGCTAAATCAATATCAAATCAATCTAAAATATTACTAGAATAATATCATCAATCTAGAATATTACCGGAATATTACTAAAATATCATTGATACTCTCCCGTAAACTCAAGATGGTAATGTAAAGGTCACTTGAGTTTGGAAGCTTGGATAAGAAATTGACTAGGTGGATATGAGTTTGGAAGCTTGGATAAGAAATTGACTAGGTGGATATGATTTGGTGAAGATATCTTCTTTTTTATCAGCACTGGTAACAAGAAAAAGTCTAAGAGTTTGAGCAAGCAAATGGCGATGAATGAAGTGACAATTAATTTCAATATATTTAGTACGCTCATGAAAAGCATCATTGTGAACTATCTGAATGGCACTTTAATTATCATAAAATATAGGAGTACTAAAGTGATCAAAAACATCTATATCGTGAAATAGCCATCATAACCATAGAAGTTTTGATGTAGCATTTACAAAAGCTTGATGCTCAACTTCAGTGCTAAAGCAGCATATCACAATTTTATTTTTACTTCACCAAGAAATAAGACAATAACCAAGAAAGAAACAGTAGCCTGTGGTAAAATGACGATTAGTAGGATCTCTTACCCAATTAGTATTACAATAACAATGCAAGTCCAAAGAAAAACTAGAGGGAAAATGCAATAAATAAAAATAATGACTAAATCACAAAATAACTACAATTATAAAAAATAAAAAATACAACTCAAAAAACCAAAAAATGAGATCCAAAAAAACCAAAAAAAAAAAAGAAAAGAAAAAAACCTGATGATATCAAAGCAGGAAAACCTGCAAAACCCTCAAAAACCTTAAAAAATAACAAACATAAGAAGAATTAGATCCAACTAAACCACCATAAATCTAAAGGGATATTATGCCAAAGCATTATAACAGAAATTACAATATACATAATCTATAATTAATAATATTTTCATTTAAAATAAATCATAAAATACCCAATTTATAAATCCAAAAAGAATATAATTGGTAAAGTTTCAAAGCAAAAATGTTGATTATAACTTGTTCAAATTTCTATATTCAAACCAAGACAATTAATAGAAGTAAAATTTGTATAAAAGAATTTATATCAAATTTAGATAGGATTTGATTTAATTTAATTTATCCTTTAGAGTTTTATCTTTTAGAATCAATTTTGCATCAAATTTGTTTCCTAGTTTTTAGGCATGATCACTAGTGATCGGGTTATCACTTTGTATATATATATATATATATATATATATATAACCTTTTTGTTCTTTACAATACAATGACAAATATATTTTCTTTTGTCTTTATGGTATCATAGTTGGAAAAGACTTATATGAAGTTTCATAGATAAATTTTGTGGAATTTTTTATTAAAAATGTGTAAATCAAAATTAAAAATCAAAACCGATAATTTGAAAAATCTTATCACATAGATCAATTGTATGGCATTTTAAAACATTTTAAAATTTTTTATATATTTATTAAATAACATTTTTAGTAAAATTATTGATAGAATTTTTATCATTGAATAAGTATCAATCAAATTTGAATTATAAATACTTTTTTAATAATTTTTTTATATATTATTGATTTTCACATTGAACTCTGTTAATGTATTAGTAGATTTTTTATTAAAATTTTTATTTACTAATTTCTAATAAAGAACTTTACGAACTTCACCTATAAAACTTCATGTAAGTTTTGTCCATCATAGCCATTCTTTTCCTTTTTTTTATTAATTATTCCTTTCTTCTTCATATGATAACTTTCGTTTTACTTCTACAATAATAGTTGAATCAACAATCCGTTGAAGTATTACATCATCTCCATATTTTATTCATCACTCTGATAGTCTAGGCACTTTGTTGGTTACTCAAGTTTTAATAGGGGATAATTACGCCACTTGGAGTCATGCAATTACCATGGCTTTTGAAGCCAAAAACAAGTTGAGTTTCATTAATGGAACCATCAAAAAACCTTTTCTAGATTAATCAATATTTTCTCATTGGAATCATTAGAATAGCATGGTTTTTTCATGGTTTCTCAATGCTTTATCCAAAGAGATTACCAATATTGTCATTTTCATGAAAAAAGCTCATAATGTTTGAGTTGATCTAAATGATCATTTTTTGTAGCAAAATGCTTCTCGTATCTTTGTGATTCAACATTCGATAGCTAATAATATACAAAAGAATGATACGGTGGTAGCCTAGTACACAACTTTCAAAAGTCTATGGGACAAGTTAGCCATTTACATTATTTTTTCCACTTGTTCTTATGGTGTGATCCAAGAAATTAATGCTATACAACAACATGATCATTTAATCCAATTTTTCATGGGACTTAATGACTTTTGTGCTCATGTGAAAAGTCAAATCTTGCTTATGAATCCATTACCTTATGTTAGTAAGGCATATTCACTTATTTTGCAAGAAGAAAAGCAACAATCCACTATCATGTATTCCTCTAATTCTTATAAGATCAATCAGCCATGGCTATCACTAATAACACTAATCCATTTTCTTTTATTTCTGGCTCCAGCATTCAACATCGACTAAAGGGAGTTGGCCTTTTTATCATTTTGATTTTTGTGGACGAGACGAACCTTTAGAATCTCATTGTTACCGAATCATATTTTGGCTAAGATATTATCATATTTGTAGTACTTTGATATTTGATATCTTATAAAGGTTATTATCATTGAGCTTGTATACATATATTTTAATGTTAATGCTTATATGATAAAATCATCGGAATATAAATAAAACTTTACAAGGGAATTACAATGACATTGTAATTATGAGATCATCATTGCATAAAGTTATATGTTCCAAAATTATTCCTAGTCGATGTTTTATTAATAAGAAAACATTGATAAAAGCTATTGAGACGAGCACTTGGTTATGCTTTTGCTTATGAAGCAAGTAACTGATCTCATATGTTTAAGTTTGGATAAACTTGAGCTAACATGTGAGTGCTTATTATAAGAACAAGTTCATTGATCATTACCCAATATGATAATGCTATATGATAGTTCACATAATGTCTATAGCTACACTCTCATGTGATGGTTGTATAAGTGATCATTTGACTTATGATTACTTATGATCTTATATGATAAAAGTTATATTTTGACTTTACTTTAGTTATGGTTCTAACCAAGAATGCTTAAGTTGAGTATTTGTGGGTATAACATAAGGCATATAAAGATGCATGAAATAATCAAGATGAGATTCATCACCTTATGTTATCAAAAGAGTATCTAAACTAGTCTTGATTGAATTAACTTGAGAAATCTATAGGTAAAGTGAAATAAGAATTTAGAATTATTCTAAAGCTTATTTACGCGTTAATGTCAAGGTCAAGACTAAACATTATTGAATACGATTGAATAGATACTAAACCATACTCAAGGTTCAAACTGAAATACTATGTAGTGAAAGAATATTAATTATACACTAAGACCATTCATGAATAGGTTGTCAAGCCATATTAATTTTTCTTTAGCAATTAGGGGTCATGTTAATGAAGCTAGTA